AAATTGAAATATATCACTATAATAAAATACTAATTTAGCACTTGCATATTATTGCTCTTTTGTTGGTTTTGATTGCTTCTATTGTCCTCATTTGTTAGTCGCTTTGGATAAAAGTGTCTGCTAAATAACAAAATTTAATGTAAATGTAAATAACAAAACTAAATTGAAATTTTAAAACAAGGCCCAAATCATATAAATAAGTAACACAAATAAAAGAAATAAGGCTTTGTCTGTGCTCTTGCCATTTAAAATTAGAGGCAGGCAACCACTGCATTTTAATCATTATCCAAACAAAGATGCCGCATACATGCAACATGAGCAGTTTTTAATCTAAATTAGATTGTATAATTTCAAAATTTGAAGCAAAAACAGAATGATTATACTTCAGTTTTGTGAAACTATACATAAAAAATATCTGCATGAAACAGAAACAGCAGACGAGCTGAATGAGACGCAGATTCACTCTCTGCCAGCAGGTGGCGCTTAAAGCATTTCCTTGGTTTCCGCTGTAAACAAAGCAGCGCTGCACTTATGAACTTTAATATGCATTATACAGAGGCAAAATGAAAAGAAAAACTACCATCTAAACTTTTCTAAAGACAGTAAGTTCCCCTCGGACATACATTCATATAAACTCCTACCCCTAATTAAATCGTGATTTGTTTAGCATCTCATCTGATTTGAATCGTCACATATTTGAATCGATTTTCAACCGGCTCACGGTTAATCGTTACATCCCTATTAACATTTAATTTAAACTGTATAGATAGTGATTACATTTTTTGTTTAAAATAAAAATTTAAATGTTACATTTCTTTTTACATTTATTACTGTTATTTTTTTTAACTTAAACTCCTTAAATATTTAATAATTTTAAATAGTCTAATATTTTAACTTTAGGATTAATATTACATTAAAGTTGCAGTCCGTAAGTTCTGCCTCTTTGTCGCCATCTCGGTTTGAAAACCTGGAATTGCAGCTGTTTGCGGCATTATCTAGCTTGCGTGGGTTGTGCTCAGGCACGGCTCCAGCGCGGATGAATCTAATGTTTTGAAGAGTATGTGTGTTTGGCAGTCAGTCACCGCACCGGTGTAGATATTTACTGTACTTCGCAATCACAGATTCTAGCCTACGTCTTGGAATATGACCCAAATAAGCATTTTGACTGTATATTGCCATCTGAACAAGAAAGTAACAAGTCTGCCACGTTTGTTCTGACCAACTGAGGAAAAAAACATTACCATAAATCTCGTTTTTAACCAAAAAAAAGTTACGGACTGCAGCTTTAACCTGTTATATTAGCATTTTCATAAAATATTCTATATGTGTGGGTGTGTGTGTGTGTACTTGTTTATACTACATTGTGTGGACCAAATGTCCCCACAAGGATAGTAAAACTTGACATTTTTTACATTGTGTGGACCGGCCTGCGGTCCCTACGAGGGAAAAAAATATTAAAAATAGTAAATGATGTTTATCTGAAAGTGTAACAATGCAAACAGGTTTTATGTAAGGGTTAGGGTTAGAGGATAGAAAATATCGTTTGGTCAGTATAAAAGTAATAGAAGTCTATGGAAAGTCCCCACAATTCACAGAAACAAACGTGTGTGTGTGTACATATAAATATATATATTAATATAAATAATAAATGAATACGTACATACAGTATATGTATTTATTTATTATTACCTAAGACCATAGTACTTTTTGTTCGTATAATAATAAAAAAACTGGATTTGTTTCTAAAATGGTTACAATACATTGTCCTTCTGTTGAATGTACTATTGTTTAGAAAGCACACTGTATTTGTACACCGTATGCAAATATGGCATCAGCATTAGCTAAATGCGCCGCTGTCAAGGGAGTGCGTTTATAACGGCCGTCCAGTACGTCGCCGCCAACCGAGGCCTTGCTGGAATCCACATTAATAATAAACCGAAAAGAGCAAATAAACAAAAAAGATGCAAAGCTCTTTCATTTTGTGGCCCTGCATGTATCTGCTTCATTTGTTCCCAGTAAATCCTTGAACATCGCCTGACGCATGAGCAATTAAATTTTTTCCCCTGAAAGAATCCGCAGAAGATCAGTGTCTCTCGGCATTACTTAAAAAAAGAAGGAAAGAAAGAAAGCGAGATGAAACGGAGGAAACATCTCCCCTCTAATGAGTCGATCCAGTGTTTGAACAATAGATACGGGCGACATTTCACTAACCAAAACCAGGAACGTCTTGATGCTTTGCTTCCTCACTGGGATCACCAGGACATAGACGAATGTTGTAGGCTGTTTTGTTTGCATCGGTCTTCGGGTGGTATTCGAGGAAACTTGAGATCTTGTGGATTTGTCATGCAGTAAACGCTGGGAAAGAGAGGAAAAGAATATACAATATGTTCATAAAACTCTTTTTTTTCATGTGTTCTTTTGTTTTGAAGTCGTTTGATGTAGTATATGTAGAGATTCTGTACTGTACTCTAATGATCACAATGCAAAGCTGCCTTCCCAGTCTACTCGGATCATTCATTCAAAATATACAGCAAAAAATGGTTTTATACAGAAATGTCAATAATAAAATTTTCGATCTGAACCCTAAACACGTTTTGTCAAAAAAGCCGGTTTTGTCCACTTTCAAGGCATTGCGAGTTCACGTTTTACTGCAGAAGACGACAAGCGCCCTTGTTGTTTTTGAACAGAAGCCGATAAGTCCATTTTAGCGAATCAACGCGCTGTATTCAGGTCAGGTGACAAGGCTACTTTCACTTTGAAAAGACGGGCTAGCTGAGAGGAGTTTCGTCAAAGCTGACTAAAAGTGATCGAGGATGGATAATTTCAACGAACTTGATGAACCGGTGATATCTTCAGGGCGAAAAAGGAAAATAAAAGCTGAAATGTTTTCACGGAACCTTGCGAAAGCAGCGCGTTACAATGGTGAGGGAAAAGCTCAGTGTATTGCGTGTAATCACATCCATACAGTTTATGATCACAACAACAACATGCATCTACATTGTCATCTGAGGAGATTACAAAGATTTAGTGTCGCGTAGCCAGACCTTCAGACTGACGGCTGAAGGTCTGGAATCCATGGCCGCTTTCATTGGCCAAGTCCCACCCATGAGGCCGTTTGACTGACATGTGAAACAACCAATCACAGTTCGTTTCGTTCATCGTCACGTTTCAGGGCGTGGAAATGTCGCCACAATAACAGACCGGTGTGTAAAACTCTCGGACGTATTTGAAAGATTCTATGAAAATAATGATCTTTAAAATAGCATCATATGACCCCTTTAATATATCTATCTATATCTGTCCATCTATGTATTTATATATATGTGTGTGTGTGTGTGTGTGTATATATATACAGTAGTCAACATTTGATTGACTACTGTAAGTTGTCCTAAGACAAGAACGCATTTTGGTTTTAGTTTTAGGACAACTTTGATAAAAGGATTTGATCCACTTCAAATGTTGACTAGTGTGTATATACAGTGGGTACGGAAAGTATTCAGACCCCCTTCAATTTTTCACTCTTTGTCATATTGCAGCCATTTGCTAAAATCATTTAAGTTAATTTTTTTTCCTCATTAATGTACACACACCGGCCCTCCAGGACTGAGTTTGGACAGCCCTGATCTTACATAATTTAATATTCAAATTGAAGCAAATACAATTTATATATTTTCCTTTAAATCTTAAATGTTTATTTAAATATTAACCTTTTAAATATTTTAGACATTTTAAAGTAAAAATACATTGTGTATTTTAATATTTTAAATATTTGTTATTTTTCTGATATTTCCTCTTTAATATTTATTTCATATTTAATTTAAATAAATGAAATAGTTTAATATTTTATTATATTTTAATGTCACATTTAATTTCATAATTTAATATTTGCTTAAATTCTTTTTGAATATTTACATTCAAAATATTTAAAAATGTAATGTTTTAATACATATTTAACCATTTAATATTTAATTTCAGAATTTTAATGTTTACTTAAATTCTTTTCAACTACTTACATTCAAAATATTTGAAAATATAATGAAATGATTTTAATAAATATTTCACCCATTTAATTTTGTATAGCATTTTATAATAATATTTATATATTTTAATTATATTTTATATTTATATTATATTTTAATGTTTAAATGTTCAATGTATAAATTTTTTATATTTCATTTAATAATTTAATTAATATATTTACTATATTAAATACTTTTCAAATATTTAAACTGACTCAAAATATTTGAAGATGTAATGATAATGAACTAAAATCTGTTGGTTCATATTGAAAATGGGACTAGGCAGGTTAACCACTTCTGTGAACTGTCCAGTTTCAGACAGATATCAGCCAGTTACAATCAAATATCAGCCGACTCGTGAAGTACAGTAACAGAAGCAGCTTGTTTAATTCAAAGGGTTGTAAAACTGTCATTTTTTTAGTTGACGGTTATTCTGAGTGCACGTCTGGGCGGAGCGAGGAATTAAAAATGAAAAGCTAGAAAAGTGTACATTATGGATCTTTGTAATGTCTTGTTGCTGCATTGATTAGGACTCAGGTGGCCCATATCTTCAACGACAACATGCTGAGCTCAGGATGCTGGGTAAATTTCATTTAGGGGAGCAGCTTGATTGAGTCAAGGCCTGTATTAGTTGGTTATTGGGGTCTTAAATGAATGGGCGTTTTAAATAAACCCCTGTACGCCGCAGCGGGGCTCCACACGCCTCTGCTTCAGGATTGAGTTTTTCCATGCCGTCGGCTGCCAGCACGAAATTAGTTGAGTTCAGGTGTGCAGGAAATTATATTGAGCAATGTGCACTGGCTAGAAAGCCCTGCTTTCACAATATTGCCTGGATCAATATGTGCCTTTCTGGACATCGGTTTAGGGAAGAAATTAAAAACATGATGCAGAGGGTAATTATTCAGAGACAACTGATTTTGGTGTTTGGGTCGGTCATTGTAAGTTCAATGTGCTTCATTAGTTTTCATTTCTGTTTTGCAGGTGCATGATTGCAGATGAGGTAAGAGCGTTTTGCTTTTCTTGACTCTAATTCGATTGGGTTTTTATAGAGTCCACTAATCACTGACCATTTGTGTCATCAGATGGGTTTGGGAAAGACGATCCAGGCCATTTCGGTGGCGTATATCTTCAAAGAAGAATGGCCTCTGCTGATTGTGGTGCCTTCATCTCTGAAATACCCTTGGATTGAAGAGCTGGAGAAGTGGATTCCCGAACTCGACCCCAGAGACATCAACTTGGTCGAAAGCAAGACCGATACAATGTATGACAAATTTAAGTTCAATAGAGGATAACACTTGGGTTCAGGAAGTGAACAAGTGAAAAATCACATTGATTTTCTCCAAATTGAAATGGATTTTTAGAGTTAACATCTTAGGTAATGATATTTAGACCTAAATAACTCGATATGTAATATTTTAAAACTATATCTTTACATATTGTTTTCATAAAAATCACACGTATGTTGCAGAGACATTTTTGAAAGAGCACAACATCTTGAAAACATTGCATAATATTTGCAGAATTTTTTTAATATATTTTTTGAAATGAAAAATGTTAATGTTATTTTCATATATATATATATATATATTTTTTATATATATATATATATATATATAATAGTTTTTAAAATATATGTTGTATTTAT